TATGCTTTCAGACCAAAATAAAGCATAGAGACACTTTTCATTTGGGTACCAGGAGACCAGAATAACAAAGAAAAGCTCACCTAACTACCACTTATCTGTCCTGGGTCCATAGGAGTAGGCAGGAGAGAGCCTGTATCCATCTATCTCATTTATCCTCTCGTCTAAGATGGGTAGGTAACATCTGAATGCAAGTAGACCGGGAGGAGGGAATGGGCCTGGGCCTGGGCCTTGTGGCCAGAGGCTGGAGGAGAAAAGCTGAGTTATTATGACCAAAGCAAAACAGAGGCAGGGGTATCACCCAGTGTCTGTAGGGAAAAGGTGATATATGTGTACCCAATAGGAGGGTGACCGCCCAACATTCCTTTCCAGGAACTACTGATCTGAAAGGGAACTTTGTTTCAATCCCTGGGACAACCAGTCCCTATTCAACCTCCCCTACAGATCTTGCCTGTCAGAAGCCCCTACAGAGAGGGTGAGCTCCATGTTCCCTGTGCTTTCCTCTGTGGCTGCCTTTCTGTAAAGCCCTTTCTTAGGACGAATGTGGTGAATTCAGTGCATAATTAAAAAGCAAACAAACTTGCCCCAAGGGAACATTTAACAATTTAAGTAGACATTTGTGTATAAGCAATGATTCATGCTTTGTTGTATTTCTAAAAACAGAAATGATTGCATTGAGAGATTTCTGCCTCTAATGTACTTTAACCAATACATGACCATCTCTGAATCAAGACAGCTAAGTAGCTGCTATCTAAAAGAGAGATTCATCTACTTCAACCATGGATTATAGATTCACTGCTACCACAGACAAACTCAAAAGACATAAACCTGGTGTCTGGCCAGCGTGGCTCAGTGGTTGATTGTCGACCTATGAACCAGGAGGTTACAGTTCGATTCCCCATCAGAATGGCAGGAGGCAGCCGATCAATGATTCTCTCTCATCATTGATGTTTCTATCTCTCTCTCCCTCTCCCTTCCTCTCTGAAATCAATAAAAACATATGTACTTTTAAAAGGCATAAACTTGGGAAGATATTTGCCACAAGTAGGAAAAAAATGTTAATTGCCTTAATATATAAAGAGATTTTACAAATCAATAAGAAAAAGACTAATAATCCAATAGAAAAATGAGCAGAGGAAATGGAGAGATCACAGAAGGTAATACAAATTGCTTTTAAATGTACAAAATGATGTGCAATTTCATTTATTTATTTATTTTTTAAAATATATTTTATTGACTTTTTACAGAGAGGAAGGGAGAGAGATAGAGAGTTAGAAACATCGATGAGAGAGAAACATCGATCAGCCAACTCCTGCACATCTCCCACTGGGGATATGCCCGCAACCAAGGCACATGCCCTTGACCGGAATCGAACCCGGGACCCTTCAGTCCACAGGCCAACGCTCTATCCACTGAGCCAAACCGGCCTCGGCTTTATTTATTTATTTATTTATTTATTTATTTATTTATTTTTTGGTTTCTAATGTCATTCTCCAATAGGAGGAATCAGGGCTGAATTCATTTTATTTTATTTATTTATTTTTTTTAAATTAAATCTTTATTGTTCAGATTATTACATTTGTTCCTTTTTTTTCCCCCCATAACTCCCCTCCTCCCAGTTCCCGCCCCACCCTCCGCCCTCACTCCCCACCCACTGTCCTCATCCATAGGTGCACAATTTTTGTCCAGTCTCTTCCCGAATCTCCCACACCCCTTTCCCCCCGAAGAATAGTCAGTCCATTCCCTTTCTATGTCCCTGATTCTATTATAATCAACAGTTCATTCTGTTCATCAGATTATTTATTCACTTGATTCTTAGATTCACTTGTTGATAGATGCATATTTGTTGTTCATAATTTGTATCTTTACCTTTTTCTTCCTCTTCCTCTTCTTAAAGGATACCTTTCAGCATTTCATATAATCCTGGTTTGGTGGTGATGAACTTCTTTAGCTTTTCCTTATCTGTGAAGCTCTTTATCTGACCTTCAATTCTGAATGATAGCTTTGCTGGATAAAGTAATCTTGGTTGTAGGTTCTTGCTATTCATCACTTTGAATATTTCTTGCCACTCCCTTCTGGCCTGCAAAGTTTCTGTTGAGAAATCAGCTGACAGTCGTATGGGTATTCCCTTGTAGGTAACCGAGTTTCTTTCTCTTGCTGTTTTTAAGATTCTCTCTTTATCTTTTGCTCTTGGCATTTTAATGATGATGTGTCTTGGTGTGGTCCTCTTTGGATTCCTTTTGTTTGGGGTTCTCCGCGCTTCTTGGACCTGTAAGTCCATTTCTTTCACCAGGTGGGGGAAGTTTTCTGTCATTATTTCTTCAAATAGGTTTTCAATATCTTGCTCTCTCTCATCTTCTGGCACCCCTATAATTCTGATGTTGGTACGCTTGAAGCTGTCCCAGAGGCTCCTTACACTATCCTCGCATTTTTGGATTCTTTTTTCATTTTGCTTTTCCGGTTGGGTGTTTTTTGCTTCCTCGCATTTCAAATCATTGACTTGATTCTTGCGCTGCTCTGGTCTGCTGTCGGGAGTCTGTATAATATTCGTTATTTCAGTCCGTGTATGCTTAATTTCTAGTTGGTTCCCCAATATAAGATCGAGGGTCTCATTAGTTTTCTTGTAGATCTCATTAAGTTTATCGGCGGCTTCTAAACAGTTCTTGAGAGACCTTAAAAGTGTGGTTCTGAACTCTATATCTTCCATTGACAATTTTGTCCTGTTTCTTTGTCTCCGCATTTTGTTATGCTTCCTTGGTGCACCCCCTAGTGGTCTTTGTTTGCAGTCTTATAGTTAAATCTTGATTGTTGTAGCTAATTCCAGGGAGGGTTTGACCTCCAGGCCAAGTGGCTATGAGAATCAGCTGTGTCTGCAGTGAGAGAACTTCTGTCCTCTAGGGAGGTGCTCATCTGGCATTTGCCTGAGGCTATCCGGCAAATGCCTCTGTGCAGGGCTTGGGCGGGGCGGGTCGCACGGGATCAACAGGGTGGGCCGGAGAGAGCAGTTATGGCGGCTCTCAGTCCTGTCCCCAGGGGCTCTGCCTCTCTGAGTCCCAGCACCCGCTGCAAAGCTCAGAGAGAAAGCTGCACTCGCTCTGACTGAAGCCAGACAGTCCCGTTTCTCCCGTTTGAGTCTGGGTCCCTAAAGACTCGCCTGTATCTGGAGCTCAGAGTCTGCGACTCCCTCCCGATTGAAAACGACAACCGTGCCCTCCCCTGCCAGCCCGCTCCGCACACTCCGCACCTCAGAATTTGACTTCAGCACTGCGCCTCCTCTGAGTGTCCGTATGCGTTTCTCTTTCCTCCTAGTTGTAGGACTTCCACTCAGCCAGCGTTCCTGTGGTTCTGGGTGATGTCCCTTCCGTTTTTTGGTTTCACTTTTGAAGTAGTTGTTCAAGGCAGCAAACTCCGGCGTGAACCTATGCCGCCATCTTGGTTCTCCCCCTGGAAATCTTCATTTATTTTTTAAAAAGGAAATTAAAACAGTGAGATACTATTTTAACCTTTCAGATTTCAGAGATCAAAAGTTTGATAATGGCCGAAACCGGTTTGGCTCAGTGGATAGAGCATCGGCCTGCAGACTAAAGGGTCCCGGGTTTGATTCCGGCCAAGGGCGTGTACCTAGGTTGCGGGCACATCCCCAGTGGGAGATGTGCAGGAGGCAGCTGATCGATGTTTCTCTCTCATCGATGTTTCTAACTATCTCTCCCCCTTCCTCTCTGTAAAAAATCAATAAAATATATTTTTTAAAAAGTTTGATAATGTACTGTGTTAATGAGGATGTAGGAAAATAGGCATTCTCATATACTAATGGAAATGTAATTGGTAAACTTCTTTGTATGAAATTTGATAATATCAACCAAATTGGAAATTTACCTACTCTGTTACTGTGTAACAAATTACTCCAAAACTAAGAGGCTTGCACATTTACAATGATTTTGCTTATGATTTTGAGGGCCAGAACTTGAGGAAAGGCTAGTTCTTCTTAGATCCATATATGGTGGCAGCTGGGGTGGCTGACACTGAAGAATTCACTTCCAATTCATCTTTTAGGAATTTATCCTACAAATGTGAGCAAAATAGTGACCAAGGATATTCATTCCAGAATTAGTAATAGAAAAAGACTAGATTAACCTAAATGCCCATCAATAGGGGATTGGGTGAAATAACTCAATCTGTGTCCATGCAATAAATAACTGCACCTGTTAAAAAGAATGATACAGTTCTATGAACTGATATTGAATGAGCCCCAAGATATAATTTCAAACAAAAAAAATCAACCCTGGCTGGTGGCTCAGTTGGTTGGAGCATTGTCGGGTACCCCCAAGGGTTGCGGATTTTCTTCCCTATCAGGGCACATACCTAGATTGAGGGTTTGATTGGGGTGCATATGGGAGGCAGCCAATCAATGTTTCTCCCTCTCCCTTATTCTTTTCCTTCTCCCCCCCCCCCCGCCCGCCCCTTCCGCTTTCTTTGAAATTGGTGAAGATGTATTCTCAGATGAGGATTTAAAAAAATAAGGTGCAGAATCTCCTGAAAAAATACCTATGGGAAGAAATGTTTTTACAAGCCCTTTACAATAAACCACTGGAAACCGTATATGACACAGCCCAGAGCAAGAGGCCAGACGGGGAACTAGCGTCCATCCCCCGGGCCTGGGGCTAGGCCACTACTCGGACCTACGAAGGGGCGGGCAGCTCCCGGGGCAGCGCCGCCGCTCAGCGCTCCCGCCCCGGTGGCCGGACGTGGCGCCTCCCCCGCGGCGGCCGGAGCCTGGAGGTGGGGTCCGGAGCCGGAGCCGGAGCCCGAGCCCGCGCTCTGAGGTCACCGCGCGCCGCGGGCGCCCAGCACCACTCCGGCTGGAGCTCAGGTCCGCGGGAGTCCGGGCGGCCGATCGCGCGGCCGGGTCCGCCACGCGCTTCCCGGGAGAAGGCGGGTGGGGGACCCCACGGCGGGAAGGGGCGGGGGCGGGGCGGGGTGTCTGCGGGCCGCGGAGCAGCCGGTGCGCCTTGGATAAGGAGGTGTGGGTCGCGCGAGTCCAGGGGGGCCCTGCGAGTCGTGCTCTTCGCAGAAGGCTGGGGGGCGGGGGCGAGACCGGCCGATCGGAGCGGCGGGGGCAATCTGGTGGCCAAAGCCCCCAGAGCGTCTCACTCCACCACCCCCCGCTCCCGCCCCTCGGCCGCGGCGCCGCGGGAAAGTCTAGGTTTCTCCCGTCCACGATCGCGCTGCCCCCCGCTTGCGCTCTGAGCCATCCCTCCCTGACGGCGAATTCAACAGGAAAGGCCGCGACAGGAGCCGGCCCGCGGCCATCTGCCGCCCCGGCGTCCCGGGGACCCCGCTCTGCCGCCACGCCACGTGACTCTGCCGCCCCCTGCGGTCGCAGGCCCGTGCCTCTCCTCTCTCGCGTGTCTGGACTCTCAGAGCTTGAAGACTCAGGTATGTGATCCGACCACACCCCGCCGCCTCCTCCAGGGGTCCGCAGCATCCCGCATTTCCTGCGCCGCGCGGGGCGAGTCTCGGGGAGAGTGGGGGAGGGGCGCTGGGGACTGGGAGAGCCCTGGGACTTCCCAGAATGACTGCCAGGCCAGACCTACTCTGGGGTGCTTGAATGCAAGACCATGCCTGGGACCCAGAAACTCAGCCTGGCAGGGAGACTGCCTTGCAGGAGTGTCCCCTCGGTGACACTCCGTGAGCCTAGTACTGGGGGAAGACCTCTCCAAGGTCCGAGGTGAGGTGGTCGTTGAGAGAGGTACCACTTAATCCTGACCATTGTTGGTCATGTGAGCCTGTCCGCCTTTCTGGTCACCTGATCTGGATCTGCTCCCATGGGCTTGGTATGGTTTTACCCCCTGGAAGCTGTCTTCGTTTATTTCCCCAACAACCTCTAACTAAAAACCTGGGTCAGCCTGCTGGCCTGGCCCAACCTCTCCACTGAGGTTCTGACCCATATCCCAACTTCTCAACTGCCAGACTTGCCACAAACACTTTAAAGCCCGCAGGCCTCAAACCGAATGAGCACTGGACCCCTTGGCCAACCCCCATCTCAGCTTTCTCCTTTCTGAGCTTGGCACCTGCATCTTCCAGGCCCCCAGCTCTGCATGCTGAAGTGGTCTTTCTCTCCTTCCTCTCTTGCTCGTTTGTTTAGGTGATAAGTACATTGCAAATGCCTCCTCCACCCGCCACAGGACCCCAGTCTGGGGGTTTTCTAGCGGGGAGTCCATGCGGCTCCCCTGCTCTGGCGAGGCTTGGCGGAAGAGCTCTTTGAGCTACAGCTCCTGGACTTTGCTGCAGGCACTGGCTCTGCAGCCCAGCCCACAACTCACACTAACACTGATGCAGGGGCTCCTGAGCTGGGCCACCTCCAGCCACAGGGACTGCAAGAGGCTCCCTGCAGCCAGACATGTGTGAGGAGTCCTTACTCTTTGTGCTGAGGCCCCAAAACACACAAAAGGAGCTGGACCCTCCTGGCATAGCAGGTTCTGCAAAGGTGTGAGCGTCCTGCATGGGTATCAGCCTGTGGGGCCACCACTGCAAAAGCATCCTTGACACAAGTTAAGAGCAATAAGAAAATAGATCTGTACCCACATTTCTATTATCCAGTCAAGCTGTTTTTATTTAGTGAACTCAGAGTTTGTCAACAAAGTGATTCACAAATAAGAATTTTCAAGGCCTTTGTTGAGGAAACATCTTTGTATTTGAACAGTCACCATGCCTGTAGATTCAGCAAGCCAACATGGGCAGGCAGGGGTGGCATGAGCCAGGGTGCTCCCAAGCTGGGCCCAAAGGGTAGGAAGAGAGAGGGCTAGTGTCTGGGCAGCGAGGATGGGTTTCCTAGAGGAGGCGACTGTCCTCCCAGGGCAGGGCTGCTGCTCAGAGTAGCTGCTTGTCTTCCTGAAGTCCAGAGAGTGGAAACCCTTTGCAGAAGAGGTCCCCACTCCTGAGTGTGAAGCCCAGCCTGCAGGGCTGGCCTGAGTGGGCATCACGATGCCTGCAGGTGAGTGACATCAAGATGGTCTGGTCCTGAGATGTCAGCTGAGAACCCCTCCTGGGATTATTGCAGGTATTGCAACTCCCTGGTAGGAAACAGCATATCCTCCCACCACTAACCTCCCTCCTGACCCTGACCGGCATTCTGTAGCACCTGGGGTCTCAGGGAGGGGGGGTAGGAGAGTGAGCCTGAGCTCCAAATAGTGTCTAGGAGGCTCAGATGAGCTTGCCTTTCCAGTTCCTACACCAGATGGGGGCCACCCTCTTCTGCACTCCCCACCAAGCAGCTCAGGGAAGGCAAGCCCTCCCTCCAAGTCCATAGCCCATAAGGAGCCCCAGTTTCCCAAGACTCAAAGCTGCTTTTACCCCTGACCAAGGCATAGCCCCCCCCCCCCCACCCCCTCTACGCCAGCACTGGGAGGTATAGATTTCTGGCCAGTTCTGCTCCAAGCTGTGCTTGCCTGCTTTTCGGGTTCCTCATAAAGCATGAGTAACCTGGTCAGTGTCCATGGTGGCAACTGCCTCACCCAGTGTGCCCCAGAAAAGAGTGCTAGGGAGGAAAGAAGAGGGAACAGAAGCAGAGGAGCCCTCTTCCTTCGCCTCCCTCTACTCCTTACAAGTTGGCTCCTTACCTTGCCATTCAACAAATGTTTCCTTAACATCGATTCCATGCTGGGTTTGGGGGTCCAGAGATGTGTACACAGCGCCTGTCTTAGGAGGCGCCGGGTGGGGATGGGAAGAAGGAAGCACAGGCAAGCCAACAGTTACAGCACAGGGTGATGAGTGCCGCAGTGGGCGGAGGTCAGGACACTGAGATCCCAAACGGCCGGGAGACCTCTAAGCTGAGCCCCCTTGGAGGTACAAGAATAGCAGGACAAGAGGGGGTGAGCCTGTCATTACTAGACACAAGGCAGTCTCCAGAAGCAGGGAATCTGCCAGTGGTTTGAGGGAAGGTGGGGGAACTTTCCCACCGTGGAGTCTGGAGTCTGGGCTGTGTTGGAGGCTTCAGGCAGCCGGGGGGTGGGGGGAACTGGCTTTCAGCAGGGTTTGCTTCTAGGAAATTGATCTGGATGCAGTAAGCTTGGAGGCAGGCCCAGATTCCAGGCAGGGCTCGGCCTCTTACCAGCTGTGTGCCCCTGGGCAAATGATTTCCCCCTTAGAACCTCAGTGTCTTCATCTGTAAAATGCAGAGAGCAGTTGGGAAGAGCAAGATAAATATTTATATAAAGCACCTGGAACATAACTGGCAGGGGGGAGGGAGGACGGCTGTGAAGTTGCCCTGCCACCTGACCTGGGCCTTCCAGTCTCTTTCTTGTCCCCCAGAACATTCTTGACCATTGTTTATCAGGGAAAGAGCACTCGGAGAAGCTAACAAAGTGCCAGGAAGCTGGCGGGTGGGGCAGGGCGGGGAGGGAAGAAGCATGGGTGCATTCTCAGGGCTCCCGGAGGTACCAGCCAGGAGCGCCCCTGCAGGGAATGGGCCAGGGGCCAATTCCTTTCCCTGGGCTGAGACCCTCAACCTCCAGAGTTGCTTCCTAGCGTTGGGCCTACTGCCCACGCCATTCTTCTTTTTCTTTCTCCAGAGAGGAAGGGAGAGGGAGAGACAGAGACAGAAACATCAATGATGAGAGAGAATCACTGCTCCGCTGCCTCCCCCAGCCCCCCACTGGGGATGGAGCCTGCAACCCCCCCCCCCCTGCATGTGCCCTTGACCAGGATGGAACCCGGGACCCTTGAGTCCGAAGGCCAAGGCTTTACCCACTGAGCCAAACCAGCTAGGGTTGCCCATGCCATTCTTAACCTGGAGGTAATGCCAGCTCTTGAGACAGTGTGACTAGAGAGGGGACTGGTAAGCACCCGGAGCCCCATCACGCACCATCTATGTTCTTCCAGGCCCTACGGAGCTAGCTGGCCAGCGCTCACCCGCGCAGCCATGGAGGCCCTGGGTCCTGGGGGCGACCGCGTCTCCCCCGCCTCATCCACGCGCAGCCTGGACCTGCGGCGGCTGTCGGTGCGCGCCGACTCGGCCTACAGCTCCTTCTCCGCAGCCTCGGGCGGCGCCGAGCCGCGCACGCCGTCTCCGGAGCCCGATCTTCTTCCCTACCTAGACTGGGACTACGTGCGCGTGGTGTGGGGCGGCCCGGCCCCCACCTCGGCCGCCGCCGCCCTGCGCGCCTCCCCGCAGCCCCGGCCCGCGGCCGCCGCGCGCAACGGGCTGCGCGCCCCGCAGGTCCAGGGGGCGCCGGGGCCGCTCAGCAGGCAGGCCACCCCGCTGCTGTTCGCGCTGGCGGCCGAGGCGGAGGCCGCAGCGCGGGCCGCCGAACCGCCCAGCCCGCCGGCCTCGAGGGCCGCCTACCGACAGCGGCTGCAAGGCGCTCAGCGGCGAGTCCTCCGGGAGACGTCCTTCCAGCGCAAGGAGCTCCGCATGAGTCTGCCCGCCCGCCTGCGGCCCGCGACCCCCGGGCGGCCCCCGGCGGCGCACCCGCGCTCCGCCTCGCTCGGCCACCCGGGCGGGGAAGGGGAGCCGGCGCGCTCAGGGGCTCCCGCGCCTGGAACAGCCGGCCCGGGCCGCCTCGCCAACCAGCCGCAGCAGTGGTGCTTCTCGGAGCCAGGGAAGCTGGATGGCCTGGGTCGGGGCGTCGGGATGGCGGGGGAATGCTCGGGTGGGGCCTGCTCCGGCTTTGGCTTCGCCAGGCGTGAGACCCAGGGATTGCAGCATCAGGCGGTGGCGGCGTTTGAAGGTCACCAGATCAGGTGGCTGAGAGGCACAGAGGACCGCGAACCCCTGTCCTTGAAGCTCCACGACGACGTCTACAGGCCTGCTCGGAGTCAGAGCGCGGCAGGGGAAGCTTTGGGTGCCTGGGGAGGCCCAGGAGGGGCCGTGCCCATCCTCCAGGTAGGGAAGAGAAGGGCTGCAGGCTCGGGGTGGGGCACAGCTGGGAGACCGAAAACTTGAGCCACATGACATCTAACCTGTTTGCCTTTCCAGGCTGTTCCTCAAGGAGCAGAACCCAGACCCTTGTTTCAGACCACACATACCAGGTGAGAGACATGGATCACTCTTGGGAGGAAGCAGCTCTCATAGCTCTTGCCCCAGAAAAGAGAAGGCCTCCCACCTACCCTCAGTCTGAGCCTCGGGGGCTCTTGTATTTAGCAAACCAAATCCCCAACTCCCCCGCCCCCCTCTCACCACCTCAGCCAATCCCCATCCCCAACACTTTACTGTCTCTCTGGTGCAGACCCAGAGTTTCCTTCCTGGTCACTGTGGGGTCTCTGCCTCCAGGTTCCTGACTCAGAAGGAAGCTGCAGTGGTGTGTCCTGCAGAGGGTCCCCAGAGCAGGCCCATTGACTGTGAGCTCAGAGTCCCAGAGACCCACATTGTGTGTGCCCGGCTCCCTTCCCTTCCTGATGATGATGTCTTCCTGGAAGAAGTCCCGCTGGTCAGAATGAGAGCACCTCCAGACTCCCATGCCCCGCCCCGGCTCCCAGCCAGGTGAATTCTCTCTCGCTTCTAAGCAGAGTGAGACATCCCTTCGCATACATAGCTACACAAGGCCAGAGGGACCGGGAACCCGCCCCTAGCTGGAGCCTGGGAGTCTGGGTGATGGGGTGGTGGCAGGTGTCCCTTGGAGACCACCACTGGTCTTCAGCCATAACTTTTTCTGATTCAGTGTTTCTTCCATTTCCAGTGTCCATGCTTCTGACCCACAACATGGAGCTGGCTTGGGCCAAAGGCCTGGCAGGGCTACAGTTTCCCCAGAGCACCCCCTGCTTGAGTGCCTAGAGACTGCAGGGACAGGTGACTGCTGGCCCACATGCTGTGGTTCCCCTGGGCCTGCAAATGGTGATGTCCCAACCCACGACTGCACTGGACTGCTGACGACAGACTTCCCTGCAGCTGTAGAGCGTGACTCCCTCAAACCTCTCCCAGTCGATGCCCTGGGACCTCCAGGCAGTGACACCCAAGGGCCTCCCGATGACACTGCCTGGGCTTGGGGCCCTGTCCAGCCTGATTCTAAGCCGACATGGCCAAATCCACGCCTGGAGCAGCTGGTTCAGGAGCTTGCCAGACTGGATCCCTCTCTGAGTGACACTCTCACATCCTATCCCAGCCCAGAGCCACCTCTGGATCTGCTGGATGGGCTGATTCCTTTAGCTGAGGTCTGGGCTGCAATGAGACCAGCCGGTGGCAAGGCTGGAGAGGAGGCTGCTGGTATTTCTGAGCCAGGGTGAGTGAGGGGCACCGGGGACTCAGGGATTCTAAGCCCCTGCAGTCTGGGGCAGGACAACCCAGGGAGCTCCCTTTATCCCCGTGTCCCATCTATCTAGTTCCACCCAGGTCCTGCCAACTTCTCAGGAGGAAGCAAGGCCTGAAAACCTTACCCCTCCCCCTGTGTCTGAAATGCCATGTAGCCAGGGTCTGCCTGAGCCAAACAGCAGCATCCAAGCTAAGAAAGTGAGTGTGGTGGGGTGGCTGGAAGCTGGGTGGGACAAGAGACCTGAGTTCGGCCTGAGATGTCCCGGCCTGGCCGCAGCCTTCAGTAGCCACGCCTTCCCTGCAGGTGGAGCTCGCGGACCTCCTGCAAAAGATGCTGCGGAGCCTTCAAGCGGAGCAGGAGCAGCTGCAGGGGACAGCCCAGACCTGGGCCAGGCGTGGGGCTGCGCTGGAGGCCGCGGTAGGCCAGGCCTGTGCACCCCGCGAGCTAGAGCGGTTCAGCCGGTTCATGGCCGACCTAGAGCGTGTGCTTGGCCTCCTGCTGCTACTGGGCAGTCGCCTGGCTCGCGTGCGCCGTGCCCTGGCTCGAACGGGAGCACACGGCGACCCCGAGGAGCAGGTAAAGGGGTTCAGGCTGCGGGAGAGCAGGGGGCAGGCGAAGCGCACTTGCCCCGCTCACCGTACCCTCTGCCTGCGGCCCCAGGCCTCTCTGTTGCAGCGCCTCGGGCTCCTGCAGCGGCAGCAGGAGGACGCCAGGGAGCTGAAGGAGCACGTGGCGCGGCGCGAGCGGGCCCTCCGGGAAGTGTTGGTGCGGGCGCTGCCTGCCGGGGAGCTGCGCGCCTACTGCGCCCTCCTGGCCGGCAAGGCCGCCGTCTTGGCCCAGCAGCGCAGCTTGGACGAGCGGGTCCGGCTCCTTCAGGACCAACTGGAGGCCGTCAGGAGCGGCCTAGGCCACCAACCCCCATCTCCCAGGCTGGCCTCTTCCCCCGGGACCCGTCCTCCGGATAAACCTCCCTTCTCCCCTCTGCTTATTTAGTTGTCAGCGGTGGCGGTGGGGAGCTTGGCCCCTGCCTTTCGCTCACGAGGCCGGGGGTGACGCTGGTTTATTCGGTGCTTTTCCCGTGGGGTGGGGGTGACCCAGCCAGGCCCTCCCAGGATACTTCAGAGTATTGTCATGTGGCCTCACCCAAGCCGTGTGATTATGTGGTAATTAACTTATGGATTTTACAAACTGCAGTATTCCCCCTTTCTGTGATGAGAGATGGGCTTGGTCAGGGTTGGGTGGAGGGTGAGGAGACAAGTCAGAGTCTCAACTTAAGATGCAAAACAGCCTTTTTCTCCTCAATAAACATGGATGTGAGAAGTGTGACGCCAGCTGAGCATGGCTTGGGGGAAGGGTCTTATTGACTGATTACAGACAGCCCCTTACCTGACCAGAGCAGAAGAGGGAATTGTTGGAGGATATCAGGGAGGTCTGAGAATCAGGAAGACGAGAACCAGGTTTGAAAACAGGAGGGGCCAGTAAACCCTAACTGTTCTGGTAACGGTATCACTACCAAAGCCGAGGCCTGACTGCCTGAGTCAGGTCTCCTTTGCTGGTTTTACCCAAGTCCCCAACCTCAGTCGTGGAAGTGGGGTACTGCCTCCCTTCAAGACTCCATGGATATGGCTTAAAGTCCCCCATGTTTTCCAATGTTTTGCTGCCTAAGAACCCTGACAAATGCCCAGTACACTTGGAAATTTGGGGACATTCATTCCAAGAGCTTTCTTCCTCTTCCAATTATGTTATCAACATTGACTTTATCCCACTCTCCTACGGAGACTCCCCTGGGTCAGCCAGGCTTGAGGAGGCAGTTAGGGGTGGGAGCAGAAGGTGAGGCATGGGGAGACCTGGAGACCTACCTGTGAGAGCTGAGGCCCCGGGGAGGCAGCTCATCTGTGTGCTAGAGACTCGGACTTGGGGGTGGGCTGGGGTTGGAGGGGCTGAAACAGGACAGGCACTCTCCTCCATGTGAGCATCGGCCCAGTGTACCCAGAATCGGTGTTAGGTTCTCAAATACACCTGTGAAAGTCTGCTTCAGCCTTTGTAGCTGCAAACACCAGGGAGATTCAGAGCATGGTTCATGCAAACTCTGTGTATTTTTGGAAGCCGGGCACATTAGAAAGCATGTGTATTTAAAGCCACGGACCCCAAAGTGAGAAATCGCTGCTGCTGGGCTTGTTTTCTGATGCCTATTGTCACAAAGTGCAACTGGGTGGGCATTTTAAATGGTGGCATTCATAGCAGAAGCCTTAGTGACAACAGTGGCGCTATTGAGCACAGAACAAAGCTCACATTGTGCCTTTTTATAAAAAACATATGGGGCTCCTGCAGAGGCAGTTGCGGGTTCTAACATTATGCTTTGAACACTGCGGAGCCCCGGCTCAGCCTAGCAGGGCAGCTGGCTTCTAGACGCGTTCTGGATGGGATCTGCTTATTTCTGTCTTTTGCCCTGTACAGGCCCCATTGCACTATCCCATTGTGACATTCTTAGAAACACACTTAAAGGGTCCGTTAGACCAGTGGAAATTGAGTATTTCAGAGAAAGCACTCCCAGGCCGGAATGGCCGGAATGGGTGGAATGGGCCTGGGGAGCAGCGTCTGCCATTGTCCAGTTAAATTGCACTTTGGTTCTGTGTTGCGGTTCCCCATGGGGCAGTACAAGGCTTCTCTGTTTTTCCCTACAGATCGGGGGAGCCACCAAAGTAGGTGGACACCAACAGCGCCCGGCTTTTCATGTTGTCCCCGTCTCCCTCCTGCCCCAGTTATTCTCCCGCCCACACCGTTATTCTTTCAGAGAGCAAGAATGAGCTCACCATGGGTGCGCAGTGTTGGTATCACAAACCCAGCCTTGAAGGGCCAGGAGCCGGGTGACTTTCACCCCCAGGACGCTGCCAGCAGAGGGCACTGTTCTCCTTGCGATGGAAGCTGCTACCCTCACTGGACCACCTGCAGCCTCCCAGCTCCCAGGCCCCTGGGCCAGCCGCGGGGGAGCAGCGTCCCTGCTGGGCCTGGAGGCTGGGGTTAGGCTATTTTGCTTCTGTCGGAAAGCAGTTCTGGCCCGGCAGCCCTTGGGAAGGCTGTCTCGCTTTCCTTAGCTGTTGGTTAATGAGAAGTGAAGAGGAGGGAAGCCGGGGGTTTTGATCTCGAGTATCAGTATAAAAAAAAAGTCCCCCAGGGTGGAACAGGGTCTCTTAGGTCTGTGAGGGCTTCTGGTCCCACCCCTTGACGTTGCCCACTTCCCACCCTTCCCGCCCCCCCGCCCCCCAGCCTTCCCGCCCCCGCCTCCACCCCCGCTGCCCGCCGTGGTGCCTCCGGGCTCTGCCAGGGCGGCTGCAGCTGGGATTGTTGCTGAGCAACAGGCAGCCCAGCGATCGCCTCCCCGGCTCGCCTCCTCCCGCTCTCGCTGCTGCTCCTAATATGGGTGTTATTCGTGTACTTTTACCTTCAGACTGCAGATTGGAAACGGAATAGGGAAGCAGTGTTCGCGTGCCCCAAAGCGGTGCCAATCTGCCTTGCACAGCCGGCTCCGCACGCCACGTACCTCGGCGAGCGGCTGGCGAAAACCTCGGGAATCCTTGCTTGTAAATCAGAAGTTTAAAAGGGGATTTAGATCAATTGTGGTTGAGAACCGCAGAGAGGGGAGGTGAACGGGGAGTGTGGGGGCGGTGGGAGGCAATTGTTATAACGCAATCTTCTCTACGACCCTGCAGTGTCATTATCACAACAGGTGCTTACCCCATGTCTTTGAAATTTCAATCGGCATCAACTTCCTACTAGGAGCACTTCCTCCCCCCCCCCCCCCCCCCCACCCCCACGCTGGAGAGGTCTGTCGCCTCTCTCTCTCTTTCTCTCTCTCTCTCCCCCTCCCTCCCTCCCCCTCCTTCTCCTTCCCCTTCTTTCCACTTCCCTGTAGCCACACCTGAGGCTACTTCTGCTTCAAGGTTCAAGTCCAGAGGTGTGGCAGTTCTGGAATGGTGAGGCCAGGGCAGAGGTTGAAGGCAAAGAGCTACCTGGAGAGGAATAGAGTTTGTTTATTTATGCAAACATTTTAAAAGGTCAAATAATTTATTAAAGGGAAAGGCCCAAACGAGGGGAGAATGCATGTCCTGGTGTTACTGGAAAGGGGACCAGCAGTAGTGTGCTGGGGGGAGGGGGTATTTCACAGCATGAGTCCAGGTGACTCTGAGGGAACATTTATTAAAGCTGGAGACAGTAAGACAAGGAAGGGCTTAACAAAGAAGCAACAGGAGAGCCTAGGCCGGCTGCCATAGCTCTCTGGGAAGTCAGAGAAAAGGGGGCCTGGGGACAGGTTCAGGGAATAGCCTGGGAGGAGCTGCCACTGCCCATTGCTCCCTGGTCCCAGCCTCATGGGGTTCTTTAGAATGTAGGAGATTAGAGTTTAGCATGCCTGTGGGGGGAGAAGGTGGGAAAGGGAATGGGGGGTGGGTGCTCCTCAGAGGGAGAGCACAGGCTGGGTCCTTTGTGTTGAGGGTATTTATCTCACTCTGTCGGGTGGGAAGCTCAGGGGAGGGTCTCAATAGAATGTCCGTCCGCTTTTCCGGTGTGTTCTTTCAGGGTCACAGTCTCCACTGCTTGGTCTGGGCCCAGGGCAGGGGGTCATTAGTCAATGCAGCTGGTCCTGAGGCAGCCATGGAGTCGCCTGTCTGGTTTTGCTGCTATTTGGGGCCTGGAGCTGAAATACAACTGATGCCTAGATGTTATCTTTAAGGAGGAAAAGGTCTGGGGGGTAGTCTAAACCACAGGACCAGCAATATGCTAGGGTGGAAATGTTACCCTGGGGTGAGGTTCTTGTTTTCCCAGTTTTGCCCCTTGCAGGCACCCAGGGCTTTCTGCCCTGGTGACCTGTACCTGGCCCATCGTCCCTGCTCTGCTCATGTCTAACTGCCTACAGTGAAGCGTGGGCCATCTTGTTCCAGTGGCCTCTATGTTGTAAAATCTGCCGTTTAAAATTTTCCACAAAAAACAGATGGTCCCTTGTTCTGTTCATTAATTTTGCTATTTTGGCTTCTTTAAACATGCTTGCTCGAATCTCTGCTAAAGTAAGGGTCTGGTTCTTCCCATGCCAGGTATCTTCTGGTTATATCTGAATTGTGCTGTGCTCAAGGCCATAAGCTCCCTGCAAGATAGTTACTAAGCCAGCCGTGACTAAAAAAAAAAGACCGTACCCTTTTATGGAATGACGTTTACTTTGAATTTATATTAGTTCACACAAACACTCCATCCATGCTTTTGTTCCGGCCCTCCGGTCCAGTTTAAGAACCCATTGTGGCCCTCGAGTCAAAAAGTTTGCCCACCCCTGGACTAAGCCCACTGTCCTCCCATCCCAGCACACAGGGCTTCCTTTATTTATTTTTTTTAAAGCCTACGAAAGGTCCGGAAGTCTCATTCCATATTTGGGATACAGAGACCTAGAAAATATAAAAAGGGAAAGCTTCCTCCATGTTTTTTGCTCAGACTCTGGAAACAATATTCCTCTGAGCCCGAAGGCATAATAAAGACTCCTAATTAATTTGGCTTCTTAAGGTGTCTTATGTTCAGCTCGCTGATTTACAATATAACAATAACACTAGTTGTGCCTAGCTTTATGACTGTGTGTTGAGGGCTGAATGACAATTGTCTAGTTCTGGAAGGTTGGGGTAGGGATTCTAGAGAAATATGAATTAAGAAAGACATTGTTATGTCTCTTAATTAAATCAATATTACATAGAGAGTATGGAATAAGTTCCCTTTTGTGGAATACATTTTTTCTAACAAAGTCCATTGGTATTTATTTATTTTTGTTATTTCTAACCAGAGGATTTTTTCCTTTGCTTTTTAGAGAGAGTGGAAGGGAGGGAAAGAGTAGGGGTGGGGGAGAGAGAGAGATAAGCATTGATGTGAGAAAAACATATCAATTGGTTGCCTCCCGCATATGACCTGACCAGGATTGGGGACAAACCTGCAATTCAGGTATGTGCCCTTGACCGGGAATCGAACCCCAAGACCCTCCAGTTTTCAGGCTGACACTCTAACCCAGGGGTCCTCAAACTATGGCCCGCGGGCCACATGCAAATACAAATATTGTATTTGTTCCCGTTTTGTTTTTTTACTTCAAAATAAGACATGCGCAGTGTGCATAGGAATTTGTTCATAGTTTTTTTTTTAAACTATAGTCCGGCCCTTCAATGGTCTGAGGGACAGTGAACTGGCCCCGTTTGAAAAGTTTGAGGACCCCTGCTCTAACCACTAAGCAAGCTGGCCGGGGCTTGATTGTTATTTATGTGTACAATCACTAACAGGGCAAACAGTGGTGATCATGTGACGCACAGCCACCAATCAGAGCTATTTGGGAGTGCCGCTAGATATCCCCGTGGGACCAGCTTGGCACCCTGGTAATATTTCAGGTTGGTTTGTAGTTCCCAAAGGACTCTACCCTCTCATTTCCTATGCTCCTCCCACTATAGCTGGTAGGGTAGATACTGCCAGTCTTATGTCCCACAGAAAAGGGACATGGAGCTTGGAAAATTGGGTGACTTTCCTAAGGTCACTAAATGGGTAAAGAGCTGAGATTGAGGCCACCTTGCTTTTCTGCAAGAGGATATTGTAATGGGAAAAGCACAGCTGCCAGCCCACTGATACTTACCTGGCTGTGGGGCCTGAACAAGCCACTTGCAACTTCTCTAGGTCCTCACTTTAAAAACGCATACTAATAGCACACACCTTTAAGGTTGCAGTTAGTGTCCGCAAAGTGTTTAGCGCTGTCCCTGGCACGTAATAAACACAGGCCTTATGTGTATTGCCCTCACCCTGGTCTCCATTGGTTAGGTGAGGCATGCTCAAAGACAACCTCCAACCTTCTATAAAAGAAATAAAAACTTTATTAAAAAGCTTGCTCTGGATGTGACTCACATGCATCTCCATCAACAATTCTCCCTTTTAAAAGGAGTGATTCTCTTCCCTCTAGTAATTCTCACCAGCTACATTGCCTTAACTTATACACAATTATTTTTGTGTGTGTCCGCTGGAAATACCCTTCCGCCAGTGTACCTCCTTGCTAGGCAATATATAGTTCTTGAAAACGTTCCATAGGCACGTCAAACCATAATTTCCTAATGATTTACCTTATCATTTCAGAAAGTGTTGGCCTGCAAGGAAAAGGAGTGGTGTCTAACACCGGAGTTTTAGGCTTAGTGATCTGAAACTCTTGTCAAATGTTTTACCTCATTTATTTTTATTTATTTTTAAATATATTTTTATTGGTTTCAGAGAGGAGGGGAGAAGGAGAGAAAAATAGAGACATCAATGATGAGAATCATTGATTGGCTACCTGCTGCATGCTCCCTACTGGATATCAAGTCCGCAACCTCGGCATGTGCCCTTGACCAGAATTGAACCTGGGATCCTTCCGTCCGTCCGTCCGTCCGAAGGCCAAAGCTCTATTCACTGAGCCAAACCAGCTAGGGCTGTTTTACCTCGTTTAGAGAGATTGCAGCACACTCTTTTGAAACATGAAGATTCTCCTGGCAGTTTGAGTAACCCTCCTCTAATGTGAGTGTGCAATAAACATTAGTTATTATTATTACTACCCTGCGGGTTTAGATTTTTATCTTTCTCAAGGTGGGTCATAGTTGTGTTTGTGACCTTTGCTACCCTATTTTAGTCCACTCAAGCCTCTCTTTGACCATGGAAAATCTCTAATATTTTATTGCCTTCTAGACCTTCAGCCACTCAGATTGCTATAATTACCGCCTCCCACAATTTTCCTGCAGAGGTAGATTTCATCTGCATTTAAAAATAATTTATGCAGCTTAGCTAGAGTTCTTGCAAGGAAGGTAGGAAGGGCAGATCAGAGCTTACATTTATCTACAGTTTTGGCTACCATAACCATGTGGGGTTGACTCCTTTTATTTTGCAGAGCAATTCAAACTCTTTCAATGATAAAGTGGCAGAAGAAGGATGAGGAGAAAAGGGAGAGATTAAGTAGATAAAAGGAGAAGGAAAGAAAACTACAGTGGGAAGAGCTGTAAACGGTTTAAGGGAAGTACATCATCACACAAGCAGAAAGAAAATAGGAGACTGTTTATTTCATTGCTTAAATCAAAACATTCCACGAAGGACTGCCTTAAATAATTTCAGAAGCCTCACTGAAATATGTCTGTGTGGGAGAGGAGCCCCACCTTG